AGGAAAGTCCCTAAAGGCGGATCGATAGAAGGGACTTTGGGTGGCATGAATGATGTCAGGCCACGTGGACAGAGCATCAGAACTGAAGGCATGAGATGCGTGCACAGACTGAGCTATTCAATCACCTTCTTGTGATCACATACCCGGAAAAACCTAACTGTATAAAAGCTAACTCATTTATATAATAAATTGAACATCGCTGATCATATTGATCGTCTCCGTGTGTTCCTGAACTCCTGCCGTCCATAATTATCATCATATAATTAAGTATTAACTATAATTATATATAATTATATGTTCTTATACATAAATATGTGTATATATGTTTTCATATTTAATTATTTATTAATATATTGACTATAGTAATACTTATTATGTTTATAGATATAATAATACTGTGAATAAAAAGGAAAAATGGGGTAGGATGAATGAAGTCAGTAATCACTGCAGTGACTGCAGCAAAACTCTGACCCTATCAACATTTTGAGTAAATATGAGAGATGATGAACAGATAAAACAGGTAGTCCAGAGTTTATATTAAATTCTATAACTGACTCATCTCCTACTGGTGGCAAATTTTCCACATATTTTCTTCAATCTTTCTTTTTCGCACTGCTGTTGCTGGTGCTGTGAGCAAAAGATCAAACCATGACAGAGAGGCCCATAAAAAATTTCAGCCTGCCATGAAGGTAGTAGCGATGTGTAGCAGCATAAAGTGTTTGTGGACTTCACTTGATATCTAGAAAATGGAAATCAAGAAGACTTCACTGGATATGAAAGAAAAATTAAAAACTGCAGACCGGGAACTTTTCGCTGATGACCTTATAGTCCATTTACTCAAAGTGCCTTGCAGAATTGACGGAAGTGAGTTTTTTATATATATATCTTCAGAGAAGAGGGATCTAACCTATCTGTCTAGCTTGAAACATGTTTGAATAATATTTAAATACTATTTTAATTCAGTTCCTTGAATCAGTGATGACATTCCCAATTATTAAAACAATTTTTAAAAGATCTGGACACAACCCTGAACTTTTTGCAAAGAATAGATTGTGTACAAAATAAAATGTACTGAAGCATTTTGTTGTGAGTACAAGAGCAATTTTACACCACCTCTATTGTTATAAGTAGCAAGGACTGAATTTATCACATTGCTCACTATAAAAACTAAATGAGTATTAGATATGATCTTCCAGTGAGCAGAAAATGTTCAAAGGATTTGATTCCTTTATTAAAGTATAGGGAAAAACAACTAGCATAGTTTTAGCTTGGTTTTATTGCAGATTCTGTGAAAAAATAGAGAACTGGCATGCTTATAACAGCTCAAATATCTTGGAGAAAAAACCTGAATGGAGTGGGAGCTGCTAATACTGTTTTTATTAACATACCTATAAGCAAACAATTCAGGAAAAATATGTCTTTTTTAAAGAGTCGGTGTTATAATTTCTACCAGCATGGATTGAAAAAAGGCCTAGAATGAATCCTGCAGCAGGAGCGGGGGAAAGTAGTCTTGCTCCTTTTAATATTTCTAAGTAAAAAAAGTTTTCTTTTAAAACTTCCTGACTCTTCTGTTCATGTCTCATCTGCACATGATAATAAAATGTTAGCTGCAACAGTCCAAATCATTTTCTTTCCTTTACACACCAACTATTTATAAATTCAAAAAACAAACTATGATTTCACTTCTTGAATAAAAGCTATATTCATTCAAGCATAGCAAAAGCATTTATTTGACTTTGGCAGCTATCATTGCTTTCCATCACAGTAGTTTAGCAGCCTCATATGTCTTTAATATGTTTGCACGTTGAAAGTGAACTTCGGCAATAATAAAAGGGTAAGGATTGATGCACCATCTCTTCTATCATCCTCTATCCCCTACTGCCTCACCACCAGGCAGAAGGAGGACACCCATGGGGAGCAATGGAACTAGATCTATATTCCAGGTGCCAGGCAAATCTCTTCCCAGCCTATTCACCTGCTCAGGTGTCCTTATACAATAGGTATAAGGCTCTGGAACTTGAAGGCCAGGTAAACAACAATCTAGATAAAGGTCCATCCAGGTTTGTAATTTGGTCTGAAGCTTCTCTGCAGTACTGTATTAATCTTTGTCTTGTAGAGAGTAATTCCCAGTTTCATAGAAATAATGAACTGATATGTAAAACCTCTGCCTGAAGTATTTCTCCCTGAATTTTCTGTGATGCATCTGCTTTGTACTTGCTTTATCAAAGATTCATGCCAGCTAAAGAGTATCAACTACAGGTGATGAGGGGATTCTAACTCACCTTATGTTAAGATGTATGTCTGTTCAGTTATCTCTTTATTGGTAGACTCAAACGGGTGAACATTCCTTTCAAGTCAAATAGGTCTGATAAATGTTTAGCAAGGTCCCTAAGATGATGTGCTTGGTATCACTGGCTATTTATGTGCTATTGAAACATTCTGTAACCACAAAAATACAGAGCACATAGCAATATTTCATGACAAATTCTCATACTAATGATATCTATTATAAAAAACTACATAGAAACATTGCTGATAAAAGTGCATGAAACATACAACTACATGAAAGCTTTGTATTTAGTAACTGATTTTATCCTACTGTGCAACAAAAAGCAATATGGCTAGGTGTCTCAGTTTGAAGAGACTGGAACGTTTGCTAAAGAGGATGAGTTATGAGACAAACCAAACTCCTCTCTCTCAGCAATTGTAAATTCAAAATTAAGGGGCTTTAATCAAGGAAATGTGGAAAAAAACAGAAGAAAAAAACCAACCCTTTATTAAAAGATATATGTATGTTGGCAAGAACAGTAACAGAACACAAAAAAACCCCTAGGCAATAGTACCCAAAAGTCCCCTTCAAACAAAAGAAAAAGTCTGAATACTTCTCTGTCCTTTAGCGCAGTCCTAATCGTGGCCGGCAGGGGGCGCTGTTGGGTCACTGGAGGCGCAGACCCTGCAGTTCTCTGTGTTGGCCTGCAGGGGGCGCTGTTGGGCTCTGGCGGTCACCACACAGGGAGGGGTCTGGGGGGGGTCTCAGGTCGCGGGAGAAGCCGAAAAGAAGATGAGGAGCCTTCCCCCAGGAGAAGAAAGGGGAAAGGAAAACAGTCCACCCCCCACGAAACTCACTGTTGTCCTCAGATGACGGTGTCCCAAGGCTCCTCCTTCCTTCTCCCGGTGAGCACAAAAACTCTCCGATGAGAACACAGCAGGTCCGGGCTGGAGACAAAGACAGCCTGCCCGCAAGTCGAGGCCAGCAGTCAGGGCTGACCAGGGCGGGAAGCCAGAAAGCCCGGCCTCCAGGCCTTCTCTCTAAAAGCACGCACGCAAGGCCCCTGTCTCTGTCCCAGAGAGAGAAAATCGCATTCTGATCTCTCCCCTCTGAGGAGTCCCAGCAACTCCCCAAAAACTCCTCCCTACCTTCCCCCAGCCTCCGATGGGCCATTTGTTAGGAATGCAGCTCAGCTGGCTAGACCCTTTGTAATGCTAATCGCCTCCCTTTCCATTCAAACTCCCTCTTTCCTACAGTGGGGGCAGGGGGAAGAAAAATTCTCCTGGATTTCTAACCTATAACACTAGGGCAAGCACAAGTATTAAACCATCAATCCAGCCTTTCCAGATTTTTGAAACTGAAGTTTTGTCCTGGATTGCAGATACTTCCACAGGCATCTAAGACATGACAGCAGGCAGCAGTATTTCTCTAAAATGCCAAGAATATTCTACCACTTATGAAAGTTCCCAAACAGTTGCCAGTTACTCTATGATATATAACATATGCATTCTGAGCTGCTTATAATATGGACTAAGAAAATGCTAAAGGTCATGTATTTTCTACATTGCGTAGACATTTATAAGCAGACATATCTCTGTCTTTTCGCAGTCAAATTATGCATCACTGTAGCAGTAAACCAAACTGCACGAGAACCAAGCCTTTCCAGTTAGCTCAGTGAAACACTGCATTCAGTTTGTACTGCTTACAGCTAAGCTTTCAGTGCATCTGTTTCCAGGTCATCTCAGATCAGTAATGGTGCCAGGAGAATCCATGCTAAACACACATAAAATTAAAAATTTTTTAAATACACTTTCTTATAAAGTATGCAGAACTTCTTTTTTTCCTTTTACAGATATGTTCTCAATATCATTGCCTTGATGGAGGGATTGAGTCAACCCTCTGGCTCCTCCAGGCTTGTTCAACATTCTGAAGCAGGTTGTTTGTTATAATCGTGTGAAACATTTATTGAAAATTGTTATCAAACAGATGTCTCAAAACATCTCATAACATCTATTAAGTCATCAAAGGCTACAGATTTTAATCGAAAATTAGACTGAAAATTATGAACATGCAGTTGTCTCTCTCCTAATAACTGAGGAAGAGTTCACCGGTCACAGTTGACCATGTGTTCTCGCTAAAGCTATTGTATTAATTATTTATTGGTAGGACTAATTCATACTGCAGATGCTGCAAAGTTAAAAGAAATGTCTCTAACACCAGTCTCTCTGAAAGATCTGAGAACTTCAGCTTTCTTAGACAATGACTTGGTAGCATTACAAAGACAATCTGCCTTCTCTTTTGTTCTTTTTGTCCTTGACAAACTTATTAAATTGTGTCTTCCTTTTGTGTGAGCTCTAATTCATCCACTCTGAAGTTCCACACTTCCAACATTAATACCTTGTGTGTTGGCAACAGTCATTCGAAGCGAAGTCAAAAGAAGAAAGACCTTAATTTTCTTCACCTGCCTAAATTGGAACAACATGATAATTTGGCTGTCATCAGATGTAATCAAACCAGATTACATTCAAGTGTCATGCAACCTTCCTGGGTCTTCATTTTAGGAAGTAACTGAAGTGAGAGGCCCAAGATTAAGATGATCACTGCCTTGTCAGCCAGTTGCTTTTCCACTGGTGGAAGTCTAATTTTAATTCCAAATACAACTGCTCAGCCTATTCGTGAATCTATAACGAAAGACAACCAAAAGACTCTTAAACAAACATGAGTTGCCTTACCATGATTTGAGAATTCATCCAGCCCAAATAATGACACCCCTCCCTTCTGAATCCCTGAACAGCAAAAAAAAGCATATTTAGTCTTTCAAGACCATAAACATCAGTAACTAAAATCTATTCCTCCTCTTCCGCTTAATATCAGATCCCAAAGTCTGTGAGTATTTTTATCCTGTTCTACTTGAAATATAAAATCACAGTTATATGATAACTTATCTTAGTTTAACAAGATTACAACTCTGAAATTAAAAGGCTTCAGGTGACGGTGTGGAAAAGGAAGTTAACGGCTCTTTACTAACAAACCCGAATAAACAACAATGGCCGCAACCAAAACTTTCAAAAGAAACTAAACAAAGTCCTAATTCCCCAAGGGGGGAAGAAGCCCGCAGCAAACGAGGGGGGGCTGAGGGCAAACTGTCCCCGGCAGCCCAACAGCTGCTCGCAGCCACCTGAGCAGCAAGGAAAGAGTCCCTTTTTCCCTCAGGCACAGGGCTACGGTGCGGTACTCGGGCAGTCGCCGCGGGAAATTTGTCACGGTCCGGGGCAGACTACCTTGCTCCGAGATAATCGGTCTCTCTCCCAGTCGTTCTCCACACGGTGTCCGGCGAGGTTAAAAAAAAAAAGGAGAAATTAAAAACAAAAAACTTCTCCTCAGGAGGAAAGAGGAGGCGGAGGCCGAAAACCCGAGAGTGGCTCTCCCTCTGTCGGACAGCGAACAACAAGTCCTCCAGACAAAGGCGTTTCCCAGGTGTCGCGCTGGCCGGCTTTTAAAGGGAACCTCCCCCGCGCTGCCCCGTGTGTGCGGCCCCGCTCCGTCTCCCTTCTGCCTCCCCCATCCCAGAGAAACGGATGGGGGGGGGGGGGGGGGGGCGACCGACACTGGGAAAAAATTCCAACATCTCTTTTTCAAACCTATAACACACACTCACCCTTCGCTCCAGAATACCACAAGAGCAAAGAGACTGACACCTTCAAGAAGTGATTTCAACAGTAAAGAGAACATGGACAATGGCAAGTTGGATATGAGTCGCCCTGGCAGCCAGGAGGGCCATCTGTGTCCCGGTGAGGGGACATCAGGCACAGCATCGCCAGCCAGATGAAGGAGGTGATTGTCCCGCTCTGCTCTGCACTGAAGTGGCCTCACCCTGAATATTGTGAGCAGTTTTGGACACTGCAATATAGGAAAGATATTAAGCCATTAGACAGCGTCCAAAAGAGGGCATTGAAGATGGTGAAGAACCCTGAGGGGAGGATGTATGAGGAGAGGCTGAGGTCATGGTATGGGGCAGATCTAATGTGTTTCTTTCAAACATAATTCAGTGCCTTCATATCAAGAGGCAGATGGTATTTGCTGCATAAGTGATTTAGAATAAGTTTGTTTTCAATAGTAACATAAAGTAGAGTGTTGGATCTATGATGCAAGATACATACATACATCTATATATGTAAGTATAAAAATGAGATTTAGGTTCTGGTTTTAAGAACACTCAACTACAGACAAGTAGTAGTTTAATATTTCTAAGGAAAAGTTGTGTAATGAGATTCTAATTTTAAAAAAAAGGCTAGGTGAATGTACACATGCCAGCAATGTTTAGATTTAGTTCAAATTTTATTCTGCGTCACCCTGAATGAGTCCCTAATGAAATTAAAGGAAATCTTGGATTCAACTTGGCTTCAACAGGATGAAGATATCTTAACTAATTTATAAGGTTTTTAACTACTTTTAAACTCTTATTCATTATAAAGTGATATAAGTTCAAGCAGCTTTTCCCAAAATTGCAAGATCTCCTACCTTCAAGAAAGTAAACTTTCATTCTAATGTCACCAACAAAAACATGGAAGAAAGTTATAGAAAATGCAGTTTAAAGGAAAATGCAGAGAATAGTTTTTCCAGAGGTTAGAAAGATCCCTATTTCCCTGCAGACAGTTACCTTTGCTGACAAGTAGCCCTAGTCTATTGTGAAGGATTTAAGGTTTTCAAACTGATGTGGCATCTGAAGAAGACCGTCAATCCTAGCTGATGTTCAGGAACATTTTTGCAATTGCATATTGTGATCTGGAATTTATATATGAAAAAATTTCCTTGCAAGCAACATTAATGACAATGGTGGCCATTGTTGACTCCCAGAAGGCATGTGGACTGAATAACATCCTAGTGCTCCTGTTCATTTCCTGATTTCACTGCCCACAGACTCATGTTTTCAAAAAGGCAGCAGTTGCACATCACTAGACTTACTACTGCACAGAAGCAGCCATAGCAGAAATCTTAGTGGTGTTCCTTTCTGTAACCTAGATCTCCTAGGACATAGTCATAATGTGGAATAAATTTAAGGCCCTGCTGGAAAAAGGTCTTGGAATAGGAGAGATACTGTAATTGTTTTCTGCCACTGTCCAAGGTATCATGGAGCTTGTCCAAAAACTCTTGTTCACAGTCTTAAATCTGTGAGGAATTTTGCAGAGATGCTTACATAGCTGCCTGTGTGTCACTACCCAGGACTCTAAAAGGTCATCTTTATAATAAAGAATTGCAACATAATGACAGCATAGCAAAAAAAAAAAAAAATACTATTGCTATTCTCCAGTGAATTAAGAATGAAAATTAATTGTACTGTACTGTTGCCATTGTTCTTATGTGCAGGACAACTGTTGAAGGGGTAGCATTATCTATTTTACATCAGTCCCATCCTGATATGCTCTACTTTTTAATTTGATAAATATATGACGCACAATTTGCTTCTTTTCTTTGACTTATCATTGTCAAAGGGTATGTGATATGTAATTTCCCTTTTATAAAACAGCTGGAGTTATTACACCTCTTGCAAGTAATGTTAAATTAGGAAACGATGAAAGAGACACTTCTTTAGAAGCCAAATTAAATGTGTATAGACGTAATCCGCTCAGAGATTCTGTAAAAACTCACTCAGAATTTCAAAAAACAAACAACAAAACAAACCTAGAAAACACTGACAATGCAGCACAATTCACTGTTGTTGGCTGTAGACCAATGAATACGTGATGGAAGGGGTAGATATTGTGTAGATATTGATTTCCACAGTTGAGAAGGACAAGTTTTCTAATACAGTTTAGAAAGTTGCTGGAGTTATTGTAAGCATGTAGAAGGGCAGGAGAAGAACTAATTCAACTCTTTACAAGTATAGCTTTCCACAACAGACTTCTGATTCTAAATCATGAATCCCATACCCAGAGCGTTGTGATACCCTGGCAGTGCTACAACATTAGGTAAAAGTTACATCTACAAATACCCTTCAAAATAATCTGTACAAAGCATTGTCAACTGTGAAGATTTTACAATTGTTGTGCATACTGGTCATGTACTAGGTGTTCTCTAATCAAAATGAAATCTCAAGAAACCATTATTTATCTTCTGATTAGGAATGAATAAAAGGCTTATAATTAAAAATATATTTGATTGTTTTACTGAACATCCACTGTATTGATGGGCTCAAAGCAAAAATAGCGTCTAGGTAGGCAGTCAGTGAAGCCTCTTTCTGAACACAAATCACTGAGATACAAAGAAAAGGAGTACTGAAATAGGAAAAGAAAAATGGGAAAGAATATATACTTCAAAACATGCAAGGCAAAATTTAGGAATTTTGGTCTGAGGCTGATCCCAGTTGGTATTCATGGCATATGGCTAAATCCTTTTTGCTATTAGTAGTGCTACCAGGTAAGAGGAAAACTCCAACTTAACAGGTTTAGAAGTTGGAGGTCCATCACTAATGCACTTATTAGTAATATGCTGTGTATTTTATTATGTTCCTGCAGTCTGGGAAAATGAATTTGATGCAATAGTTTTCAGACAGAGCACTGCCCACAGACTGACAGAGTAACTGCAATACACTGAACTCAGTGAGAGTTCAAAAGCAATTTCATCACAGTTATCTTTGTTTTTCCAAGTATTTGGAGCTATAACTTATTATCTAGTTCATGCTTAATGTGCCGTGTGTATTACAGTTAATATCTTAAATACTCCTGCCAGGTGTATTTTTACTCAGTTATCTGAAGTAGACTTGAAAAGGATGGCATATTGAAAAAGCATAGTAAAACACAAAAATAAATAATGTATAGTTTCAATAGTTGTTCCTGCTGATGTCCGTTCAAGTTTTTATATATTTTCTTCATTCTGTTAAATCTCATTGGCATAGTCTGGCAAGATTATAAAATTTCAGTATGGGGATAGTTTTTACTTCAATTTTATTTTGGTTTTCTCAATTTTAAGATGTCATACACTGGATTAAAAGTATTCTCAGTTGATAATGATAACATCATACCCTCGCAAACACCTATGCATTCTCTGACCTTAGTGACAAGCCCCAGGACACAAAAGCAGTCAAAGATTTGCAAAAAGCTGACTTTCAACAGTATGCAATACAGTAGTTTTTTGTTGCTATCTCCAACAAATCTGAATAAGTCATTAGCAACACCTAAAGGTGCAGCTTTCGCTACATCTAAATTATCAGCTCAGTCATGTGGCTATGTAAACTGCAGAAATTTACTTGGGAAACTATAAGTTCCAAACTGAAACATGGTCAGATTTCTAAAACTGGACAAAGGGAAATTAAAAGACCTTACAGACACAAGAATTTCCTGAGTTATTTTGAAGTTGATGCATAGCATTTTCCTGGCAACTCCCAAACTGAGATTTAAGAGGTACCAATCACAACAGCAGTGTCAGACAACCCTTAGTACGTAAGACTGAATTCTCTGTTTTTCATTAATCCCAGGATCCTCAATGAGAATAATGATTTCAGAAGATTTAAAAGCAACAGATAATGTTTAAAAGTGAAAATCCCTAAGATCTCACAAAGAGGAATTCCTGTGATGACATAAGTTGATTATCTTCCTGCATTCAAAATTGGAACACATTGTAATGTCCAGCACTTAGAAGCTCAAGATGTGCTTTCTGTGACATGAATTACTGATTTTTCTTTCAACCGAAGATCAATAACATCAGAAAGACAGAAACACTTTCAGTGCAGCTTTCATCTTAAATGCTGAAGTCTGGTTCTGTTGACTTCAGCATAAAAGATTTTTTGCAGTCTGAATTCTGGTATCTCATGTATAAGGGAAGCTTATGTTGTCAGGCTCCTTTAAGTTCCTCATTTGATGCACTGCCTACTGTTACACCCCACTGAGATATCATTTATTGTTTCACTTAACTAATTCTTTCCCTCCTAACTGCTGTTGTGGTATTCGGCAAGAATTCATTTTCTTCCTGCAATTGTATCCAAATAAAAATCAAATTCACTTCTCTCTCTTTTCATTTAAAACAAGCATATTTTTTGAGTTTATGTGTAAATAGTTTCCTTTTCATTGTTACATTATGTGCAGAAACAACCAAAATAATTTGATAATTTTTACTTTAAGTAATATGTTGTAGAAGTGTAAAAGTTGTAAAGAGTGTAGAATACATTAAAAGGCAATTGAGTTTAAATATGTCTCAGGGACTACTTTGTTGTGTTCGCAGTTGCCTTTTACGTGGAAAAAGCACAAGTCCATGACATATTCTTTAACAACAACTGAAATAGTGCATTGTTTTCTGACACTAGTTTTCAATCCCCAGATAAACTTTAATCTAGAAAATGTCATAATCTGTAGTACCATGTCAAGATTTCACACTGAAATATAAACACTAAGTTTAATTGTCTGTTTGGATCCCCCAGGGAATATATAATACTGCATAATAATTTGGAAGTTACGGATCCTACTATATCAATCTTTATGAAATATTTTAGATAAATTTGAAGATATCAGTGTTAGTTTACAACAACATCTGCAAATACATAACAGAAAACTCCCTGTCACAGAAGTGGCCTTGAAAGGGATAATGGGAGTTACAAACCAGCAAGTCTACCTTTCAAGCTTTGTAAAATGGGCATATCTACATTGAACATGTCATTGAACATAGAGAAGAACTTGGAAAAAAGACAGTGTGATTTCTCTAACAGGAAATCTTGCCACACAAGTTTTACAAGGGAGTCAGTAACAGCGGGGACAAAAGCAGTCCAGTGAACAAAATAATACACTCAGATTTTCAAAAGTGTTCCAAATTAAAAGTCACTAAAGAAACTTGAGATAAGATTGGAGGAAATGTCATTTAAGGAACTGAAAGTTTTTTAAAGATAAGGAAGCAAAGAGCAGGAGCTGGAAGGTTTTCAGGAAAAAGAAAGCTTAGCTGTACTCCAAAATACTCAGTGAATCAGTGTTAAGACTAACTTTGTTCAATATCTGCACTGGTGATTCAGGGAAGAAAGCCAACACTGAAATTTGCAAGCTTGCAGATGAAGCTTTTTTGGATATTCAGTGCTACCTAAAAACTCTACAGTTTTTGTGAATGAAACTCTCAGTCACAAAACTCAGTAAGGGTTTGATGAACTACAGAACTAACAATTCAGCTAGGGGGAATAAAAACATGTTTATATGATATGGAATTTGTAATGGACAGTCACATTCCAGGAAAGACTTTGGGATCTTAACTGATGTTTCATTGAAATCATTAATTGACACACAGGGCAACTAAGAAAATTACAATATGGTTTTGGGTATCATCAAGAAATATGATTAAGAACTAGGATGGAAGGGGTCATTTTGCCACAATATAAAAATGTAAATCTATGTCTTGATGGATTAAGTCTGTGCACGTACTGTAAATCCAATGAAATTTTATTATCGCTTCATTTTATTTCATTAAATACAACTAATCTACCATAAAATATAGTATTAAGCACTTTTTGCCTTTTAGTTATTAGTGGCTGTTTACTACCTGTCACAATCCTACAATTTCCTTTCCTCATTAGCCTTTTCTTCTCATGAATTCAGTTTAACTAGGGACAGTTAGATGAGCAGTATATATTCTCCTCCCCAGAAATCAGTCAACAGTTCATCTTCCTCTTGACAAAGGGGCTCAGTCCTGCCCCTGTGGAAATTGCTGGGAAGTATAAAACAGGGGAGACAGCTACTTCTTGGACTTCAGATTGTAACTTATTGCACAAGAAGGAGAAATACTTGTAGATGTTTGCAACTAGGTCCAATAAAATGCTTAAGATATGCCACATTCAGTGCCATTTTTGCCAGCTGTAACCTCCAGAGGCCACCTACTATGAGAAGCAGCCTGCCTGATCATTGAAATGAGCACAGCAGGTGTGTGTGTGCAGGGATGCTACTGCACATAAGATGGAGTGTTTGAGAGTCTAGGACAATCCCTTTGGCTTCCCCCCAGTCAATTTGCTTTAAAGGCTCAAAGAAGTGAGCTTAAGCTTTGTCCACACCTTATGCAGAAGTTGCCTAGTGATACAAATTGGGAATGTTTTGGACAAAAGGAAAAACTTCCATACCAAATGTGAAGTCTGGGCAAAGATCTGGGGATAGAGTCCCCCCATTCATTCAGGGGATCCAGCATGCTCAGACCACTCTGAATGTAAGCACTACTACTCCAGTTTCAAGGACCTGAACAGAAAGAACGCTTTCCCTTTAGAATGGCTTGATGTATACATGTTCCCTGTAAAACAGAAGCAGAATCTCAACTTTGAATCTGTTGCCAGGGCAATCTATTAAACTGACTGAGACTGTGATTCCAACACTCACCATCTCTGTGTGTTTTCTGAAATTATCCAAGCTAAACAGTTTTATTTCATCTGCCTTACCTCAGATGCATGCTCTTATTACTAGTGTTCTAAGTCTCTTTGCCTCCCTTCTGACACTATGAATAACACAGCTTTTGCAAGCAGCAGCAACACGGGTGAATGAAAAGTATCCCATGCTTCTCCACACTGGTATGAAGCTTTGTGGCTTCTCTAGGAAAGTGGAAAGCATAGGGTTGACTCTCCTTCATACAGCACACAATTGAAAAAGCTCTTTCACATAGCAGTTCATTGTTAAGCTGTTTTAGAGAGGTGGTTAGCACCGGTTTTTTTCTGAAAAGATAATCTTTGAGAGTATTATGCGTGGTGATCAGTTCTCCAATGATTTTTCCAAGTTCAAATATCTAATGTGTATAAGAGGAGAGGAAGGTGGAAAAGAACCCAGAACAGAAGATATTAGCACTGCTATTCTACATCTAAAGACAGATCCCACCTGGCCTTCTTTCCTATCATATTTGTGGCAAACTTCCCCTACTGGGGCAAACCAATATTCTAGAGTGTGGTGACAAAAAAGAGCTTAAGACCTGAACATGCTACTTATTGGGTGGCTTTTCAAACTGAAAACCTGGGTTTCCCGCTTTGCTGCATTAAGGTGAATTGCACTTCAATAATGTTCAGCCGCTGGGAATACAAAAGATCATCCTGTTCTATAAAATCCTACAAGCAAGAGTAGTATTTTTGAACCAGTCCTTTCTTGTCCTAAAGGCAATGTCATGGGAGCTACAGCAACTTCACAGTTGCAGTAAAACTTGCAGCCCAATTCCACAGTTACTCTGTGGATCATTCTTATCCATCAGATTACTTAAGGTAGAAAACCAAATGGCAACACTGCTTAATTTAAAAATCAGTTGGCACCAAAAAAGATAAGTTTAGTACTTCTAATAATTTCTTCACAAAATAAAATAATGTTTTTAAGTACAGTGTAAGGACAGTATTTTGAGTGAAACTATCCATAGAAATCAGAATTTCAGTTGAGTTCACACAGTTTAACAGTAAAAGACATGGCAAAGGAAAGGCAATTTTGAGGCATACATCTGTAAATCCTGAACAACCTTCCAAGCGAATACATCATGACTATCCTGCTTGCCGGAATTAGGGGCAGCTTTCAACACAGGGTAAGCTTCTCCCCCTGGTTCTACTCCTGGAGCAAATATACCTTCATCCACAGTTTTTGAGGGGTGCCCAACCTTTTCTAACAGCTCCCAATCCCCCTGTTCTGCAGCCTGTACATGCACGCTCTCCCAAAATCACCTAGGATGACATGGCATCACTGTGACAGTTACTGGTGGCAAAGTCCACGGATCAGTCAGTGTTTGTGTCTTATGGCACTGGGATACCCCAAGTATGGGTTGAGAGGCTCGACTACGGACAGAAGCATTTTCAGCATCCTCCATGTCTACATCATTTGCTGGGGGGGCTGATGCTGATTGATACAAGCCTTTATTAGGTATGTCATCCTCATTGTTTTCATCAGTGTTCTCATCCTCCTCCGGCAAAGGAACAGAGGACGCAAGCGTTTGCTTAGCTTTAAATTCCTCTACAAGTTCCATAGGTGTCTTATAATGGCGAGGGACTATATCAGTAGGTAATTTGTATTTACAAGGAGTCTGAACTAGTTTGTGGGGTGAAGGATAGCGAACCTTTGGACCTTTCAGGGGTTTTGGAGCCGGACCCCTGATAGATTTTTTAGAAGGTGGATCCGGACACCACACTGTTTTCATTTTATCTGCTAAAGCACCCAATTCATTATCAGAGGGAGAGGTAGCAGGCGGCGGTGCTGCAGAGGCTGAAGCTCCCTCCTCCCCGGCGAATCCTTCTGTATCTGACACAGGCTCCGTTTCAGGCAACTGAGTGCCTTCCAAAACTTGTTCATTAAGCCAGTCTTTCAAAGTCTTAACCAATAAATGCCAGGTGGTAGGCAAACCTTCTACATCCTTAGCACCCTTACAGATCTCTTTCCACAGTTTATCCCCCATCTTCTCTTAAGTCTTTACACTAAATGCAACTGATGTGTTAGCTTCAAAGCCTTGCTTTCGGCACCATAGTAGTAAACGTTGCAAAGCATAATCTTCAACAGTTACACCTTTACGCTTTAAAAGATGCTTCCAGGAGGATAGCACCAACTTTTCCTCTTTAGAAATCTGATTCCCCATTATCACAGTCCCTTTTCTTGGCAGCTCACCTTTTCCAGATGTCAATAGCTCTCAGGTCCAGACCAAGCAGCGTCCCCGCTGCTCTCAGCTACGCCAAGCTCCATCACCACCACCCGTCGCCTGGTGGTCGCTTGCAGTATCACGTCAAGGGTCACCATAATATATCACTGAAATAAATTAATAAATTAATAGTAGGGCTTTGTCTATAATAATGAGGAATTATATAAACTGTGATTGTCTAACAAAACAATGCAGTATCCAAATACTTTGAGTTTTGCAGGATTTACATGTGAGTTGGGGTTAGCAGACTTCTCCACACATAGTGCTTGCAAGGAGACTATTCTGACAAACTGGACCTTCTAAGAAACAGCTAATATATTTTGAATGACTCAAGTTCTAGCAGTGTGATACTCTCTATCTCTCACAAATATCATCATTTCTATGATGCAAGTTGTTCCTGCAGAATTACAGAGGTAAAAGAAGACATTTATACTAGAGCTTAGATTGTGTCATGCGTAAACCTGCTGAGCTGAGATGAGAAGAAAGGGGCTGATAAGTAAGGTAAATCTGCTTGGTGACAATGATGAAATAATGCAATTAAAGAAGAATGAAGTAAGAAGTGAAGATGATTAAAGCAAGGCAATTTACTGACAGTGATATTAGAAAATGATTATCAGAAAAACTTATGATTTAGGGATAGTTTTTTGGAAACTATTAAGGTAATAATGACAAAATATCAAGTAATCAAAGACAAGAGTATTCTTAACAAACAGATTAAGCTACATTTAAAAATTTTTGTAGATATGTTATGAGGTGGGTTATATTAATTCCAATAAAACTGCTGTAAAATTCTCTGTTGATATACAGTCCAGATGCTGCACTGACCTGCCACTATATGTCAGATGAGGGTATGCTCATCCTGATGAACAGAAATTAGGGAATTGAACTGAAAGTGAAGAATATGCTGAATTTTTTTTTAAAAAAAAAGATAAAATTTCTAGATTTCAGCCTGCCTTTTCACAAAAAATAAAATTAAAAGAGTTATGCTCATGACTGGGTTCTTCTCTGCTTGGCATATCTCAGTCAAGAAGATCTAAGCACACAAAGAGGACCTTACCCTTGACCAACCTGATACCATTCTATGAATAAATGACTGGATTTGTAGGCAGAGAGAGAATGTTGGAAGATGTTTGTTTTCTTCAACAAGGCTTTCAACACCATGTCCCATAGGATCCTGACAAAGAAGCAGACAATGAGGTCGAATGGACATCATGTGAACAGCCAGAGTGTACCCTTTAGCAAGTCTGTTGATGACACAAAGCTGGGAACAGCTGATACATGACAATTTGTTGATTATACGCATCATGACCCCAGAGGGGCCTTGACAAGCTGGAGAAATGGAGACCTGAGAAGAGCCTCATACAGTTCAACAAGGGTAAAATCAAGTCCTGCATCCGGGGAGAAAAATCCTCTTGAATTAGATCCTGGTGTTGACCAACTGGAAAGAAGCTTGACAGAAAAGGACCAGGGAATGCTGGAGGATACCAAGCTGTACACAAGCCAATAATGTGTCCTTGTGACCAAAACAAAAAAACAAACAACAACAAAAAAACCCCCAGCTAGTGGTATCCTGGAATACTTTAGGAGGACTGTTGCTAGGAGGTCAAGGGAGACGATACTCTGTTCAGCACTGACAAGCCACACCTGGAGTACTGTCCTGTTCCAGGGTCCCCAGTACAACAAAAATATAGAACTAGTAGACATAATGTCACAAAGTGCCGCTAAAGGCACTAAAGGATTGGAGCAGCTCTCACATGAGAAGAGGGACTGCTCAGTATAGAGAAAAGTAGATTCAGGGACAATTCATTACTGTGTCCAAACACCTCATGGGAGTGTGGAAAGAAGAGATAGCCAGGCTCTATTAAGTGGTTCCCAATGACAGAATGAGAGGCAGCAGGCACAAACTGATCCATGGAAGGTCCAGCTGAACATGTCCAGCTGACCATAAGGAAACACTTTTTGCTATGAGGGTGACTAGGCACAGATTGCCCAGATGTGTAGTTTCTATCCATGGAGATATTCAAAGCCCATCTGGATATGGTCCTGGACAAGTGGCTCTAGATGACCATGCTTGAGAAGAAAGGTTGGACCAGATGAAATCCACTGGTCCTACATCACCCATTCTGTTAGAATGTGGTTAAGAGTCTCTGATTCTTCCACAGCCTGGATAACCAGAGAAAGAAGAGGTGCTCAGCTCTGGGACAACCACAAATGCAAAAGTACACATGATTCTGTACAGTGCAGAAACACATGAGATGCAGAAAGGTAAGACCACTTTAATCCACATGATATATCTATGTCCAGTGACAGTATCATCCCAACACAAACTTGTGTTGTAGTCTAATATCTAAACCTAAGACTCAGATGAGAGTAAATGCAGTTACAGTTAGTCATTGAATGTAAAGAAAGGTGAGTATTGGGGCTATGATTATACAAAACCACTTTGTTAGGTGATTTAACAGGTTTATGGCGAGTTACCTGCAATTGTGCATCTTCAGACGGTGACACTCAGTGTCTTACAGGACTGCCTTACCCAGTTTTTTGTAAAAATGTCGTGCCACATGCAGTGTTTGTGTCCTACACACCACAATACATACATGTTAGGGTTAGGTCTTGTGTCTCACAGACAGATGTGACACATTCTACCAGTTATTTAGTGTGGGGTTTTTTTGCTTGCTAATACCCAGCTGATCATTTGCATAATTGAAATGGTTGATCGGTTAAGTTATTGAGTGGTGAAGAGCTCTATTTATTCTCTGTGGTACTTTTTTTGAACAGTGCCTTCTGATACTTTTGACTAAGCAAATGGTTGTTTTAACACTGCTTCAGTTTTTAGCAAATGAGGAGTGATATTCAGGCTCATTTACCTACCTTTAAAACTCTATCATCAGTGAATTTGATGGGGCCAGCACAAAGGGAACCTGGTAAACAGACTGACAAAGAAGGGTATCTCCCTAGCAGGAATCCTGAGACATCTCTGATAAGTTCAGAAGAAATTTCCTTGATGGGGGGTGGTAGGTAGGACAAAGAAATCTTGACAGGTGCAGGACAAAGAAACAGTGATAAAAACCTGACCATCCTACTCCCACATAAGAAAGGTACAAAAGGAAACTCTTTACCTATCTACCCAAAATAAAGTTCTCTGCACTGCCTCTCTGCACAGAGAGACCAGATCCTTAACAGGAATGCATGAATTACTCCAGTCTCTATTATGTGTGATTTCTTCTGTCATTGATTAGCTCCACTCCTGGGAGCAGATCGGTGAGTGTTGAACCAGTGACATCTGACACAACATATTCATAGGTATGTGCATAAGTAAAGGTTCATAAGTGCATACTTGCTTCACTGGTTGGAATTCTGTAATAACTTGCAAGACAATTATATTTGATTTATGCTTGTAACATGCATGTACTTTCAAACTTGCTTTCCCAGTGGTAATTTTGTAGAGCCTTGTAGTGTATATTTCTGTACTTGTTTGCATCAGTGTTTACCCTTGCTCTCCAACATCCAGTAGCTGCAAATAAACTAAAGGCAACTTAACCAGCCAGTAGAAACAGAATTGCCATTCCCTCTGGGATTTCTGCTAGTGCTGTTCATTGAATAACACAGCTGAAGAAAAGGCAAGGGTTACAAGAACAAGTACTGCTTGAAGTTTGCCCTAGAGAACAAGTGTGACACAGTGCATGTAACAGAGTTTACTGATGGCTCTTAATGCCAGAGATCCCTCACAGCACACGTTGTTCCCTAAGCCAATAAGCAAGACATTTCAGATGCTTTACTCTTTTAAAATGTTTCAAATATTATAGATCCCTTCTCAAGAGAACTCAACTGCCTCTCTCCCTGGGCTGCTTCTGATCTCTTCCGAGTGTGAATCTATGCTTAACTGTGATTGATGTGGTAATTCAAGCTGACATGGGGGAAAGGGAAAGTTGGTTTATGCTTTTTTTTTCTTCCAGGACAAATACAGTAATCAAGATGCTGCTGGTGTATATTTAATACGTTAAGGTAAGTATTTTTAATATGTTAAGGTACAATTAGGTAAATAATTTATGCCTCTAAGTATTCAGTTGTCCTTTAGGAGGCTAAGAACAAACAAAACCTTTTTCCTTGATGATGGTTTTAGATCAATAAAGGTCAAAAAGTTTAAAGGTGGGGCAGATTGGGTAAGTGTTAAAATACCAGGATAGAGGTGATGAAGACCTCCGCTTCCTTATCCTGCTGGAAAGAGACAATGATTTCAAAATGTCATCAATTTTTAGGTTTATTTGTCTGCTTACAATCCTTCTAAACTCCCACACGGTGGCTTCCCCAAGTCACGGGCCCCATGACTTTTTTCTTGTTCATCTCTACACAATTTCAGTAGTTAATCTATACTGCAGCATTCTCTTATTCTTGGTTATTTGCAGACAAGTCATAAATGCACTCTAGAGTGCTAACAAAATTCCTTAGGAAAAACTCAGGAAAGAGATCCTGCTGTTAGATCCAAGGAAGGCATCTCTGCTTCATAAGGGGCAGGTGCACAGGTGCTGGCTGTGGGGGGCTGAAGAGGTACCTCTGTGAGGAGAGGCCGGGGCTGCATCATGCCGTGGTGCCAGGAGGAGGAGCTGCTCCATGGTGAAGCAGATAGCCACACCACAGATCCACAAGACAGTGCAGACTATGGAGGACCCCATACCACAGCAAAGAGGTATTTCTGAGGGACCTGCAGCTTCTGAACAGCTGACATCAGAGCAGAGGAAAACTGAGAAGGAAGAAGCAGCAGAGAAGAACTGCTGAGTAGTGACCACAGCCCATAACTCCCTCACCCTGCCTTGGGAGTATAGAAGAGTGAAGCTACACCTGAGAAAAAACAGGCATTTTAATGTTCATGGTATTTGTGTTTCTCACTACTTGGATCTATTTTAATTGACAACAAATTAGGTTAATTTTCCCAAGTAAAGTGTGTTTTGTGTATGATGCTAACAGATAAAAAATCTTCCTATCTTTATCTCCAACTCATGAGATTGATTTCTACTGTTTTTTCTATTTTCTTCCCCTGTCCCTCCAGGGTGAGTGAGCAGCTGGTGAGAGTTCATCTGCTTCTTAATGGTAACCCACAATAATAGTGAAAGCTGCCAAGAATAGTAGCTAGATATATGTCTAATGCAATTTCTCTACTTAGGTTTGAGTCAAACATTTCTCAATTACCATTTTAGCTTCCTTTTCTGAAAGAAGACAAAATATACTGTTTCTTGTTCTGTAGATTTTACAATGTCTGAAGTAGCATGTGCTAAAAAGAAGTCCAAATTTTATCAAAACAAGATTTTATACTTCTGATTCTTGAGTTTATATTCTCACATGAGTCTCTATAAAGACATTCAGACTACTTTGGTCCCTCTGACATTTTTGTATGTTCACTCTAACTATTCTGCGAATATTGTTCTCTGCAAGTTCCAGCCGCAAAAATCTAATAAGACTTTTAACAGTGACCAAAGATAGACCATATTGTACTGGTGAGGCCAGTCAGGAAGGTTTCCAAGGGAGCTCTATGTTAAAAGCAGGATTCTAGTTTTAAGGCAGCAATAATTATGCAGGTTTATATTCTTTATGTGGTAGTAAATAAGTGAACATAGGAAGGGATGAGATAGCTGGCAATTATAGTCATTGTTTTTTTAGATTATTTTATCTAGAAATGAAAATTATTATACTCCTATAATAGGCTTTCTATTGTTTTCCTTCTCATATTAGCTACGTAGTACCAGCCCCTTAAGAATTGAGAGTCCTTGGAAGACCTGGTATACCAGTCCATTAGAATACATGTGCGGAATAAAGACAAGTACAACAGACATTCAAACACCACAAAAAATCTTTTATTGCAGTGAGAATAATAAAAAGCTAGCAAAGAGAATCAAAAAGCTAAAATAGAATACAGAACAACTACTTTATCGGTTGGCGTTAAAACAATACTGTGAACAACATTTAACACAGTATTAACAAGTAAAAAGGGAACTAAAGGGATACCAAAAAAGGATATTAAAGCAATACTACAGATAACTTTTAATACAATATTAATTAGTAAAAAGGGGAATTAAAGGGAAATACTATGGACAACTTTTAATACAGTATTAACTAATAAAAGGGGAATTAAAGGGACACTAAAGGGATATTAAAACATTTACTTTCTTGGTTGCTTTCTATGAATAAACTGTGCTTACCCACACAGACAGGCCAGGGCTGTCAGGATCTGCAGCAGCTGGTCGGTACCCATACTTAGCGGGCGTCCCCTCGGAGCAATACAGACTCAGTGGTAGGATGAGTATCGCTCAACTCAGCAGCCCCGACACCCCATTTTATCAGTTCCACATTACACTACATAGGGCCAGTACACAGTATAAGGTGATGCTTGAGTGGCAGCCAAACACCGCCTGTTCATTACCTAATGCCAACAGTCTGCACATGCCCTACTGTAGGGCAAGGGGCAAATGACCCCTGCCCACATAATCTTCCTCTCACCATCATCTTTCTCACCCCTGTGTATGACCTCTACCATGTTTCGAGGGTATTTGTATCCATCTTGCAGTATGTAGCAAAGCCAAGGAGGAACTCAGCTCTGATAATAGGGGATATCAAGTTGACTTGCTAAAAAACACAGTGGACCTCACAGTTAACTTGTGCCATAAAGTTACACTGTACAATACTCTGGCTGGTTTCACATCCTAATATGCTCCTCTGTGCTCCACTGATCATCTAATTCAAAAGTACCCCCCTTACACCTGGACAAAAAATTAGACAAGACTTGACTTAAATTGGGATAAAAGTATATAGTGGTTAGTGAGAATATGAGCAAGAAGAGCAGCAATCTTCTTGTAGATTGAACGAGGCTATGAAAGCAGGAAGCAGTTGCCTGACCACTTGATGTACTTGTATTCTCTCTGAGAATTGTGGAAGGTGCATATGTAGTTTTATTTGGTTTTTACTATATTTACATATTCATATAGTCCCTACATCATACTCTGGAGTTTTTCCTGATATGTCCACCTATTGCAGGCCAGTCCTTTTGGTGATGACTTTGTAGGGTTGCTGCAGGAGAAGTTTCAGAGATCACACAGAAAGATGTGATCTAGTAGTTAATTTATTGAGTTCTATTCAGTAAATTTAGGTACGGAAGATATTTAATATGTACTGGTGGACTGGCAGTCAGTACTGCTTACTGTAATTACTGTTAGTATGACATTAAAAGTTTATTATTTAAGCTTAGCTAAACATATCTTAAATATTCTATGCATGCAAAAATTGTTCCTTACCAACCCACTGATGCCTAGTGTCAGGTAAGGGACCACTCAGCCTCAATGGGTAGCCTTGAGAGGTGCCCCTGTTCTAGGGGAGATACTGTACCATGGCACAAACAGATGCTATGGAAGGAGAGCTCAACATACCCTGATGGCTGCAAATATTTCTGTTGTGAAGCAGTTGATCTGTAGTTCTGCTGTCAGATTTTTCATGCAGTTTTGGCCATTTATCAGCCTGGTCTCCAGCCAAACCTTTTGGAGGTGTTGGTGCTCAGGTCCCACTGATAGCCTCCCACAGTAGGATTAAGTTAGGTTAGTTCTACTTGCTGAGCATTGCCTTGAACCAAATTCTGTTAGTTCAAATGGGAGAAGTGCCTCCGTCACAAGGGCGAAGGGAACGAACCTACTGATAGGAAGTGGGGTTGTACAAACCTGGGCATGAGCAACCTCAAGGCCTTTGGTATACAACTGTAAAGGTGCAAAACATGCAAGAAGAAGGTGAAAATACCCATATGCCTACATCTTTATTTCTCCTGAAACTTTGCCTTGTCAAAAATTTCCATTTCAAGATCCCTCATAACTTAGTTTCCCCTTGCTTGTGGCTAGAAGAAAGATAGTCTCATCCTTGCTACCATCTCTATCCCCTTTCCCTGGCTTTGATTACCCCAGTTTACAATCTCTGAACAACCTCTGACTCCCTTCAAAGACCTTCCTGCCTTCTCTTGACAAGCCTACAGCCTTGCTGTTCTCTAGTGGTTGAGAACCTCTGTGGTATCTTTTTTTCTCAACATTATCAACCGTGTCAGAAAAAATAGCTCTGAAATATTTCTTTTTACAAAGTGTTGGTCTGTTCGTGTGGCTGAGATTCTTGTTTGTTTGCTTGGCTTTCTTCCTTTCCTACTTACTTCCTCTTTAGCAGCCTTTCACTGGCTTGTTTTCCAACAAAAAGGACTCACAAACAAACCTGTGAGGTCTGTAACACAACTCTCAGCCATTTTAGAAAATAAGTATGACTCGGTCTGAATCTTTATAAATAAGCACAAATTCACTTTCTGGGGAAGAATCCATGGCATTAAATTGTCTGAAAGACAGGACGAAGCCTGAAAACTCTGGATTTAAGTGCTACATGTTTTGAAAAAGTACTTAACTAGATACTGCATCAGCTCCAGTTCTGGTCCTTTATATTTTCAACTGGGAAGAAGAGGCAAAAGAGTTAAGCTTACAAACAAATCATAATTTTGAGGCTTTTTTCTTTTTATAATGATATAACTAGAACATTTTATTATACTAAGTCAATTACAGGATTAGGGGATATTATTTTAAATACTTAATAAGGGAAAAGCATACTGAATTACTTATGAATAAATTTGTAAGTTTAAATCTGTGCAGATACTTATAGGTGTTTAATTTTGATATGAACTTCTTTATTTCTTCTACATTCAAAGCTCTCTTTGAATGATATATAAAGCAGAGATAATAACATACTCTTGAAGTAAAAATAAAGCAATAACTTGCTTTATTTTACTTTCTTTTTAAGTGTAAGAAAATTGATCCTTTAACACAGTAATTGCATCACTTTGTTTCAAGTTCTTTCTTACCCTGTGGCCTCTGAATATGTTTCTCCAGATTATTATTCTTTTAGATCTTTCAGATTGCAGTAAAATTGCTGCAGCAAAAATGAGCAACATAATCTTAAGAGTTTTTCCAATGACAAGCCTGCTTCAAACTGATTGTTTTATATCTCCTTTGGGCTTCCATGCTGTTATTCCCTTTCTTCTTTCTCTCACATTTGTATTTTTCAATAATTAAGCAACTTATGTCACCTGTTCAGCTATGTGCACAGCATTAACACCTTTGGAATTTAAAATGCAGAAGTTCCATTCAAAGGCAGGCAAACAGAACTGACAAGGAAAGTGGACAAATACATCCATAAATGTAAGTGAAACAGCAGTTTTGAATACTTTAGAACTTGTTGCAGCGTGCATGAGTGATAACAAATTTTCTCCCTTCCTACAGTAATTAAAACACTTGATGGGTTTTTACTGTTTTGTGGTATGATTAAAATGGGGAGTCGACAATGGGTTTTACTTACAGCACAGAGACACTCAAAAGCATAATTTGTGAGGGACTTTCATTTATCCTAATGAATCTTAGCTCCATAACTTTCATATACCCTAATACACAGCTTCCAGAATTAATAATAGGACACAAAAGACTTTCACTTCTGAATTACTGGGCTGAGTTAGCACAAGTTAGGTTGAGTAAAGGACATCTGTACATATTGCCCCATGTATAAAATAAGATTCTGGTACTAATTTAGTTCCTAGTGGACATGTCCCCATAAGGCAATACAAACTAATAAAATTGACAATAATTCATAGTGTTTAAAGATCTCACTTCAGATTCTGGATCCATGAGGAGTAATGGCCATAAACTAAAACACACGAGGAAAAACTTTTCTTCAATGTGAGGAAAAACTTCTTTACACTGAGGATGGCAGAGCACTGGAACGGGCTGCCCAGGGAGGTCATGGAGTTGCCTTCTCTGGAGACAGTCCAAACCCAACTAAGCTAGTTCCTGTGTCACCTGTTCCAGGTGACCCTGCCTTGGCAAGGGGGTTGGACTGGATGATCTCCAGAGGACCCTTCCAACCCTAATAATTCTGTGGTTCCATGATTCTGTAACTGGGCATAGCACAGGCAAATTCTTAGAAAATAGATGAAAGGCTTTGACTATGTTGCATTATATTTTGAAGCTTAACAAGCCTCGAAAGTGAAAACAAATAACATACGACAAGTCCACATGACAGAAATATTTGTAAGCATCCTGACAGAATGGTTTCACTAAAATACAGTTGAAGTTACCAGTCACTTGTAAACTGTTACAATTGTCAGTTGCTTCATATACATAGCTATGCAAAACCAGTTACATATTGGGACTTTGTGATTAAAAACATCGGCACTAAAAGAATGTTCTAAAATAAAAAGTTAGTGTCTTCAGTCAGTTTAAAGCTTGCACAAATCTATGTAACTGGGAAATTAAATAATTTGTTAAATGTTATTTCTAGAACTTCAACCTTTTCTCTATTTTTATTTTCCCATGCTTCTTTGGGAAGCTATCTTCTTTCAGAGACAGCAATACCTGATAAGCCTTTTTACCTCACCACTGTGTGAACTTGAACTTACACTTCAAAATACTTCTGGAGAACTGACAGCAGGTTCTATATCCTTCAAATTTGAGTGGTTCTGGCTACATCCTTCTGTTCCAGATGGACTTTTCAGTCTCTGCATACTTGCTCTTGTACCATCATGATTTTCTGTACCAATCTTCATAATCTATTCAGACATCATGCTGGGGTCTAGATCATGAGTGCTGCCCACCAGTATAAGCAATTTTTTTTCCTGAACATATGTAAAATGTAATTGTTTTAAAGCTTGTTAGCACACAAAAGAGCAGCAGATGTGTAGCTCAAAGTTTCAACCTGTTGTCTTTAACATCTTGATGACTTAACTTTTTATAGATGTTGGAGGACAAACAATACTGTCTTGTGAACAATACTTCACAAGAATCTTCTCCAGAGGCTTTTTAGTGTTTCCATCAAATAAAGGGAGATAAAGAAAAGGGGGGGAGGAAAGTGGACAAAAGAATAAGGGAGAGAGAATCTGGGAATAAGTGGTTTAAAATATCTCAGAACCTACGGGTTCTGAAGGGTGAAGAGCACAAATTCAAGGTTTTGATGTGAATTACAGGGAACTGAGAGGTAAGAAGTGGCATGTCCAAAATGCAAGGGAGACATCTTATAGAAACCACTCATTATAACTGAGCTCTCACTTATTTTAAGGCAACAAAAGAACTGTCTTTTCTTTTGACATGAAATTATTTTCAACAGAAAGATTGATGAAGACCTAGATCCTAAAAGAGGGTGGTAGGAGGATGAAGTTCTTGCAAATAGGTATTTTTGGTG